ATGCATGAGTTGTTTTGTGATGTATCCATTGTGACTGAGCTCCACAACTCTGCATTTTGGTTTGTTGTATTTGCTATGGTATATGTAATGTAATTTTTTTGGTTTTCATTTCTTGCATAAGGAAGTTACTTTGATGAGGAACTGTTGTGGGAAATTCTTCTGTATATGTGTTGCTTTTATTGGTTAATGAATAAAGAAGCTGCCTTGGCCTGTGATAGTGCAGAGTAGAGTAGAGCTAGGTGTGGGGAGGAGGAAACTAAACTGAATGCTGAGATAAAGGAAGGTGGAGTTGCAAAAAGCCATGTAGCCTCCACTGGGGTCAAACACCTGCGCTGGAGCCCACTGAAACTTTTTCAGTAGACCAAGACCTTGTGGCAATATACAAATTAATAGAAATGGGTTAATTTAAGATATAAGAGTAAGCCAGAAAAATGCTTAAGCTATTGGCCAAATAGTATTGCAAATAATATAGTTTCTGTGTGACGATTTCATGGTCTGGGCAGCTGGGAACAAACAAGCCTCCTCCTTCTACAAGGAGCGAGTATTACACTTACTGTCCCACCACTCTTTGGTCATCATGGTGCCACCTCTGAACAGTCATCAGTCCAGTGGAGAATGGAGGAAACATTTTTTAAATGTTAATTTTCTTTTCTTTTTTGAAAATGAATTAAAAAAATTCACTTTATATTCCAACCACAGTTCTCCCTCCCACCCCTCCTCCTACTCCTTCTTATTTTCCTAGCATTCCAGCCCATCTAATCCTTCCAACTGGTAAGGGCTCTCATGGGGAGTCAACAAAGTCTGGCAGAGTGTAGAAAACATTAACAGAAGAAAACTCACATTTCTTGACAGAGGGGACTTATTTCTTTATATCTTAGAACTCCTATTCATTTGAGATGTCTTGGGTTTTAAGAGATTGAACATGTTTCAGGTATGGGGAATAAAGTGGGCAGGGCCATGGAAGTTCAACTTGGGAGCATACTTGAGATTGAATCTTGGGGTAGAAAATATCAAGTGAGAATGACTTAAAGATGGAAAAATGGACATGTTGAGGCAGGAGGAAGAAATTCCATGTGGGATATAGAAGGGAATGATGCATGATGAGTTTCTGTGTGAGCAGGTGGTGTACAGCGGTCTTGTTGGGGTCTGCACATTTTTAGACATCTACTTTCATGTAGTATTTGCTGATGAAGTTTAATTTTACTGCTGCAGCCAGGAAATCATGTATCATCTTCAGAATTATATATCCAATGGGATATTTGAGATTTATCTTTTGTAGACACTTAGTATACATCTCAACAGAGCCACGAATTGGAAAGCATCCATTCACCTCCCCCCAACATCTGTCCTTGTGTGACAGAGAGTCCATCTGTTTCTTTTGAAGAGTAATTCTTCAGGGATCTTCTTTTGCTGTCAGTTCTCACATAGCTCATCGTTAAACCATCTTTTGTGCCCTGAAAACATTCTTCAAATCCTGTTCCTTCTTTTTATGTCTTCTTTGTCACACCAAAGTCACCTTTCACCCAGTCACCTTATTGTCTTCTTTCTACCCAATATTTTATCTATTCATTCCACAGAAAATTCACATTAAACATTTTTGAATTCGTTTCTATCCATTGCACAAAGTGATCGGCTCACGGTGGTATTTCTTATACTATGACCATATTAATCTCTATTTCTCTTTTGTCTGTGTTATTCCCACTAGTCTTTTGTTCTCACCTAGTCTCTTTTCTACTTTTCTGTCATAAATATGTATACTGTATAGATGTATACACATACATACACACATCTATCTGTCTGTCTGTCTATCTACATTCCACATATGTGATACAACATATATTATTTGAATCTGAAATATTTTGCTCACTATGAAGACCGCATTTTCATCCATGTTCTGGCACATTGCACCAGTTAGTTCATCTTTCTATTGAGTAAATTCCCAGTCTGTGTATACAGTGCTGCTCTAGTTACCCCTTTTCATTGTTGCAATGAAACATGTGAGAAAAACAACTTAAGGAAGTCACGGTTGACTTATTGGGCAATTTGAGCTACTTAAAGTACATTCATCATGGTGGGGAAGGCGTGGTGGAAGGAACTTGAGGCGGTTGGTCACATTGCATCAACAGGAAGCAGGGAGCAGAGAGCGATGACTGCTTCAGCTCAGTTACCTTTCTCCTTTTTTTTTTTGGTGTCAGAAGTGGGATACCTTTCTCCTTTTTAAATGCAGTGACCAAAGCCCTGGGAATGGTGCTTCTCACTTTTAGGGTGTCTGCTCCCTCCTCAGTTAGTCTAATCAGTATGGACTTTCACAGGCCTGGCCAGAGACTAGCTGAATCCAGGCTACCCCTCACGGACAAGCTCAGAAGCTCGTCTCCCGGGTAGATCCTGTCAAGTTGCTAATTAATCTCACCAACACAAGTGCATTTTCTTCCTCGTTCTCGTCCTCGTCCTCCTCGTCCTCGTCCTCCTCCTCCTCCTCCTCCTCCTCCTCCTCCTCCTCCTCCTCCTCCTCTTCTTCTTCTTCTTCTTCTTCTTCTTCTTCTTCTTCTTGAGTTTTCAATTAGGACACACAAAGTAATAGATTTTACTCAAGCATCTTTACACGCATACCACTAAGCTTTGTCTCATTGCTACCCCTCTCTGCCCTCTCTATTGTCTCATCTCTGCTGCCAACTACTTCCTTTCTTCACTGAAGTTGGTGCCCACTTTTGCGTTTCTCTCTCTCTTTTACTTGTGAGCAGTGTGTGGTGCATGTACATGAGGCTGTGTGTACACACACGCAGAAGCCAGAGCAAGGTGTCAGCTGTCTTCCTCAACCATCTACGTCATTTCTTTGAGATAGGATCCATCACCAGACTTGTTCCTTGCTCTTTTGGTCAGGCTGGCTGACTGCTGAACTCTTTCTTTTTAATTATCTTTTTTTTTCATTTATTTTACTTACTGACTACAGTTTCCCTCCTTACTCTCTTCCTGTCCCCACAGCCCCTGCCTCCATCTAATCCTCTCCCTCTCCACTCCTCCTGCATCTCCATTTAGAAAAGGACAGGCCTCCCATGGGCTTGAACAAAGTATGGCATATCAAGTTGAGGCAGGACCAAGCTCCTCCCACAAGCTCCCTTTATCAAGGCTGGGGGCGGTAATCCAGCATGGGGAACAGATTCTGAAAAGCCAACTAAGCACTAGGAAAGGTCCTGATCTCAATGCTGGGAACCTTAACAAAGAAACCAAGGTACATAACTGTCACACACATGCAGAGGGCCTAGGTTGGCCCCATGCAGGCTTGCTGACTGCTGGTCCAGAGTCCATGAACTCCCATGCACTCAGGTTAGCTGTCTGTGTGAGTTCCCTCCTCATGATCATGATACCCCACACCCTACTTGGCTCATAGAATTCCTCCCCCCTTTCTGTAGCATGACTCCCAGAGCTCTGCCCAGTGCTTGTCTGGACCACTCAACTCTTGAGATTCTGCTGTTTCTACTCCCCAGCATTGAGTTACAAGCATGTATAACTATGTTTCTATGTGTGCTTGTGTGTATGTGGGGGTTGGAGATTTGAACTGAGATCCTCATGCTTACAAAGCAAGTATGTTTATCCACTGAGCCATCTCACTAGCCTTTTGTCTTCTTTTTTTTCCCCCAAGTGATATTTATTTTGGTTTTTCAAGACAGGATTCTCTGTGTAACTATGACTGTCCTGGAGCTCACTCTACAGACCAGCCTGGCCTCGAACTCACTAAGATCTGCCTGCCTCTGCCTCTGAAGTGCTGGCATTGAAGACATGCACCACCACTGACTGGCTCAATTAACTTTAAATTAAAATATCAGGACAAGTGATGGTGCATACACACCTTTAATCCCTGCACTCAGATCTCTGTTTAAGCCCATATGAGTTATTATTACTGCTGCTTTTTCTCCCCCAAGACAGTCTCCACTGCTGCTTTCTTATTTCATAATTTCATTACACTTTCAATTTCCTATCTCTCTCGAGTTCTCTTTTTCTCACGATCCCCTTCTTAATTTCAACACACACACACACACACACTCATTCTCACACACACATTTTAAATGGAGGTTTCATATAAGAGTGAAATCCTGTGTTATTATCTCCCCGAGTTTGTCTTACTTGTTGTAATATAATGGTTTCCAGTTTTATCCATTTTCTTATGTGTGCCATGATTTCATTTTCTTTCCAGTTGCATAAAGTTCCACTCTGGCTATGCACTACATTATCTTTATCTGTTCATCTGTGGATGGACATCTAAGCTGGTCTGGTTCAATGTCCTGGCTGCTGTGACCAGTGCAGTAGTGCACACAGATGCACAAGTCTCTGCTGTGTTGACTTGTAGCTTTCCAGCATTTGTTAAGAGGCTCTGTTCCTTTAAAACAAGACACATTGTATGCCAATTACGTTGTAGGTGCTATTTCATTTGCATTCACCTTTGTAGCTTGCAATGTTTTTCAGTTTCTGACTCTTGCATGTCACTTTTGATCTCCAATTTTTATTAGAAAACACCCTCCCCTGCCACCTCCTGATTGTCCCTTCTTTATATGGTTCACTCAGGTCAGGATTAGTGTATGTTCTTCATAGACTATCTGGGAAGGGTTCTCTTAGCTTCAGAGGGCTGGGTGTTTCTTATCCTTTATGGACCATCTCCCCAAATGAATTTTCTTTGGTATTGTATTTAATTTGTCTCATCAGTTGGGTATGCAGGTACATGCCTATGATCCCAGCTTTTGGGAGCCGAAGGCAGGAAGGTCTCAAGTTTGAAGTCATCCTGGGCTACATAGGGTCTTACTATGTTTAAAAGACTCATAAGAGACACCACCTATGTGATCAAGAACACATGGATTGATTGCTTTAATTATTTTTTTGTGTAGGTTTCCTAAATGCCTATTTCACTCAATAAATGTTTGATTGATTGAATGAGTGAATTAATGTAACTGATGTTTCATAACAGACCACTACTGTTTTATAATTCCAGGTCCACCCAGCCATATTGTGGTTTGGGCCTCAGTTGCTGCTGCCTGCTTCCTCCTCTTCCTCCTCTTCATCTGCCTCTACTGGCTTTGTGCCAAACACAGTATGTCCCAGGAGTCAGTGTGTGTGTGTGTTAATCTGGGAGGGGGTGTATGGGGCATGGTGGATTCTAAGATTGATCTTTGTCTTTCTGTAGGGGCCACTAATGGTGAGACCAGGAGGCAGGTGAAATATAAGAGGTGGGTAAATTTGGACACTCCCAGTAAATACATCCCTGCATCTCCATAAGGTTTTTGTCTGAGTACTGGGGATTGAAGCCACTACCACTACATACTAGACAAGCACTCTATCATTGAGCTACACCTCCAGCTCCTAAGAGTTCTATTTATGTGTAATTTCTCAGGCACACTTTAATGTTTCCACTTCTTTTCACTCAGGGCCAGCCCAGCCATGGACATGGAGGAAAAACATAAATGTAAGGAGCCTTGTTGTGAAAATGGTTGCGTGTGGTCTTAGGATGCTTGTGGGCTTAGAAGGCCTCCAGAGAAGAGCAGAAGAGGTGGGAGGGCCCCTCGCTGTGTGATGTTGCTGTCTTACCCCCGGGTTCTGTTGGTCATCTGTGAAATATAAAACACAAAATGGTATTGTTTAAGGGCTCTTGTGACACAGACACACCTTCTCACCTTTCCTTCCAGATGGTGACTTGGAGGGCATTCCGCCTGAGGACTGTAGGAAGGTGGACACACAGGTGAGCCCTCCCCACTGCCCTGCTCTCCTCCAGAATCTCACCTGGGGATTCTCTTCATAGTTTGTGTCTCACAATGGCAGGCGTCTGCAGCAGAAGACACACAGGAGGTGACTTACGCCCATCTATGCCAAGAGGTCTTGACAGAGAACATGGATCCACTTCCCTCCAGTACCATTCAGGATACATCTACACAGACCTGTGTGTATGCCAGCCTCATGTTATCGCAACAGGAGAGTCAGAGCTAGGTGTGCAGGTGTTTCTTTAGCAGAGGGTGGCTCCATGAATGATGCTGCTCATGTTTTTCAACTCAAGCCGTTAGCACAGAGTACCAACGAACTCAAGCATGGAGAAGCTTAATTGTGAAGGAACTCTGGAGCTCGTAAACAGTGCTCAGCAAACTTTTGATTCCTTGTGATTTGCTCACTCACTGGTGTACCTGTTCACTTAGTAAGACATGGTTTCCCTCATCTAATGAAAGAGGCGAGCTGTACAGTCTGGACCCCTGGTGTTTAGTGTCGCAGAACACCTCAACAGTGAGATCCTTAATCTTGGCTGTCAAGTTGATGGGTTTTAGAATCACCTGGGAGACATACCTGTAAGTGTGTCTTTTAGAACTGTTCCAGAGATGTTTACCTGAAGTGGAAAGACGTATTCAAAATATAGGCGATACTGCTTTAAGGGCCAGGTCTTAGATTGAATAGAAAGGAGAACCTAAGTGCTACATCACCACTCACTGACTGATCTCTTTCTGCTCCCTGACTATGGATGCAGAATTACCAGCTGTGTCATGCTCCTGCCACTATACCTAGAGGAGCTTTCATTCACTGTATCCTCACATCCATGATGGATTACACCTTCAAACTAAGTCAAAATAAATCCATGGTTATGATTGCTCTCAATTGTCAGTTTGAGGAGACAGAGCTTCCTGGGAGACAGACCTCTTCACATGCATGTGAGTGATTATTTTGATTAAGTTAACTGAGGGTGGATAACCTGCCCACTGCATTTTCTGGGTTGGGATTCTGGACTATACAAAAAAAGGAAATAGTAATTTGAACACAAGTATTTATTTTTTTATTTTTGATTGTAGATGTAATATGTTAGGTACCTCAGGTTCCTGCTGACATGACTTCTTCACCAAAATGTAACCTTGGACTCGCCCCCAAGTTGCTTTTTGTCAATGTGTTTTTATCACCAAGACAGGAAAAGTAACTAGGACACCCTCTCTCCTTCAACTCCATTTTATCACAGCCACCAGAAAAGTAACTAATAGAGGAGGTGAGGAGGAAGCATTCACCCGCTAGAGCATTTTCAATGAAATTTTTGGTTTCCAGGTGGGTAAAAGCACTCAGGTTTACTTAAGGAGACCTATAGGCACCAGGGAGAAGGAAAGATTAAAGAGAACTCTTGCCATCACTTGGCACAGTGAATAATACTGAATTCAAGAATCTTTATGAGGTGGTGATATTATTTTACTTGTGCACATAGAAGAGGTGATTTGTGTAACACAGTAAACAGGTCTTTTCAAGTTTATTTAAGAACCCTTACACTGCTTTCCCCAAAGGCTGCACCAATCTAAATTCCCTTCAACAGTGTACAAAGATTTCCTATTCTTCACACCCTTGTCAACCATTTGTCACCTCTTCTCTTTGGTGATAGACATCCTAATACGTGTGAGGTGATATCTCATGGTGACTTTGGTTAGTATTTATAAGATTGTTAGTGCTACCAAACACCATTCTGTATACTTGCTGGGAATTTTATATCTTCTTGAAGACAAATAAAATCAAGATTTTTGTCCATTTTATTTTTTATTACTAAGTTTTTAGTTAGCATATAAAATAATCTGCTTTATTATGACATTTTCACATATATACCATTGTACTTTGTTCATACTTCCTCACCATTATCCTCTTGTGTTTCCATGTCTACAACTGGTCCACTCTCTCACCGCAGTAACGATAGAGTGCACTCACTACTTATGGTTATTATGTACAGCACAAGAAGGGGTTAACTAGTTCCAGTGGGAGATCTCTATAAGGGAAAAATACTAGTCATCATGGAAGAGGAAGCTGTGGCTGCTAGCTTTTGCCCATGCTGCTGGTCAAATAATTTATAAACAGTCTTACTTGGACCAGAGGAAGGCTTTTCTATCCCTCTGGGCCCTACCTGGGAAAGGCTTTGCCATTTCCATGGTTTGGAGGCACTGGGGTCCTTGACATGGGTGTGTCCATGCCAACAATACATATTTACTCCGCACTTCATCTGTTCCATATGATTAATTTCATCATTTTCATATATGAAGTTTTTAAAGAATAAAAATTACAACAAAACAATGCTTTCAATAAATGTTGACAAAAGAAGGTAGGAAGTAGGCATAGTGATGAAATGGCTAAGTTGATGCCACCTTGTCCTTATTCTATTTTGTGTCTGCCTAGCCACTCATCAGCCTTCACTCTCATACCCAAACATAGCCACATCCACTTTGGCGATGCTTTTGGGACTGTTCATGACTCTGACCCTGGGCCAGATGGGCTAACTGGTGTTTGTTTATGCTAAAACATAAAGCTAAAATAACTAAAAGGAAGTGTAAATCAGAAATAATTTTCATGTGGTATCTGGAAAACACCAAAAACTCTCTGCAAAAACATAGATGTTTCCCTCAGTAAATTGGGAGTCTGGGGGGTCACAGGAGAGGATAGAAGGGGAGAGGGGAGGAAGGAAGGGGAGCGAAGAAAAAATGTATAGCACAATAAAAACAAAACAAAACAAAAAACCAAAACCAAAAAAAAAAAAACCATCATCGATGTTGCTCAGACCCACCTCAAACACTGATATAATTGTGATTTTTGTCTTTAAAAATACTGTACCCCTGAACTTTGACATCAAGAGACTCTGAGGGATGAGCCCTGATCTTGGCTGCTGGTTAACAAAAGGACTCACACACTTTGAATTGGCTTTGTTAGTGTGGTTGTCAAGAATTGTCTGTCATGGGTCATGTCAATGACTCACATCTGCAGTCTCAGCTGCCACTTGAGGTAAGAGGATTACCTCTAGATCAAGGCCAGCCTGTGGACACAGTGAGTTTCAGGTCAGTAGTGAGCTCCCAGGTCTGGTCAGATGACTCCCTGGGTAGAGGTGCTTGCTGTTAAGCCTGAAGACCTGGGTTTGATCCCTGAGATCTACATGGTAGAAGGAGAGGACTGACTCTTGAGTAAGACCTTGCCTATCAGAAATCTCAAGGTCCAAATCAGGAGCAGAAGGAGACGGAGCACGAGCAAGGAACTCAGGACCACGAGGGGTGCACCCACACACTAAGACAATGGGGATGTTCTATTGGGAACTCACCAAGGCCAGCTGGCCTAGGTCTGAAAAAGCATGGGATAAATCCGGACTAGCTGAACATAGCGGACAATGAGGAATACTGAGAATTCAAGAACAATCGCAGTGGGTTTTTGATCCTACTGCACGTACTGGCTTTGTGGGAGCCTAGGCAGTTTGGATGCTCACCTTATGAGACCTGGATAGAGGTGGGCAGTCCTTGGGCTTCCCACAGGTCAGGGAACCCTGATTGCTCTTCGAGCAGATGAGGGAGGGGGACTTGATCGGGGGAGGGGGAGGGAAATGGGAAGCGGTTGCGGGGACGAGGCAGAAATCCTTAATAAATAAATAAATTAAAAAAATATGAAGAAAGGGAAAGGAGGAAAAATGGGGGAGAAGTTATAAGGGAGGAACTGGGAGGTAGGTTTGATCTAATCACATTAGATGCATGTGTGAATAATAAACAAAATATTTAGAGAGTTACCAAGGAGAAAAAGAATGAAAAGGAAGCTGAGAAGAAGGATGGACGCAGGGGCAGTGAGCTGTGGTGAGCTAGTTTTGGGTGGGGATAGAAGAATTAGGAGAAACCGAGAGCACAGTAGATGCAAACTGGGGATGGTGGGGAAATAGTGCAACCATTTCTGGGAAGGGAGAGATGATTAGCACGTGGAGGTGTATCTTAGACTCTGCTTCTGAATCTGTTAGCCTCACAGGGTGCATGTATCTTGTAAATTGTCTGTTAAGAGAGGAGAGAAATGCAAGCTCATATCACCATATTAGGGTAATGTTCAGTACCGTTGGGAATTGGAGAAGTGAAAATTGTAGAACTGGGTGTGGTGGCACCTAGGTGTAATACCAGCACTTGGGAGGTGGAGGCAGGAGAATCAGGAACTTGAGGTCACTGTTGGCTACATGTTTTAGGTCAGCCTGCGGTACATGAGACCCCATGTCATAACACCACCATTATCAACAGCAGCAGCAGCAGCAGCAACAATAACAACAGCAAAATTCTTTTAAAAATTTTACTTAAATAACATTTTTTTTTCATTTATTTTCACATACTGACTGCAGTCCCTTCTTCCCTCCACTGCTTCCCATCTACCCCTCATCATCCACTCCACTCCTCCTCTGACTCCATCCAGAAAGGGGAAGGCCTCCCATGGGCTTGAACAAAGCATGGCATATCAAGGTGAGACAGGACCAAGTTCCTCCTTTTGTGTCAAGCCTGGGTGAGGTACTCCAGCATTTTGTTCCCCAAAATGCTAAGTGCCAGGGATAGGTCCTGATCTCACTGCTAGGAGCCTTACAAAGAGACCAAACTGCACAACTGTCACACACGTGCAGAGGGCCTAGGTTGGTCCCATGCAGGCTCGCTGACTATTAGTCCAGAGTCCA